TATAAGCTATATAAAATAAATCAAAAATCAAAATAAAGCTATTATTTGAAAACAAATTAAAATATATTTTGCTATCTTATTTATATAATTTAGTTCTATCAGAATTTTGTAGTTTTGGTACTTATTATAAATTTTTTTATATTAGCATCTGTATCTAGCATAATAAAAACTTTCTCATAGATATCTAATGAAATAAATATTATTATTAAAAATATAATTAAATAAAATAATATTATTATCAAGATCAAAAAAGTAAGTTAATAATTATATAAGTATGAATGATTATATATATAGATATTTGATAATGATTTGAAACAAGAGTTAATAACTAAAATTGAAGAAAAAAAGAAAATTATTAATAAGAGCAAAGTAAAACTAGAGAGACTTAAATATTATATAAAAGCTCAAGCAAGACTTGGAGTGAAAAAGTAAAAAAAAAACTTGAAGAAGAAAGTATTATTAAAGAATATAACAAATCTGAATAATTATCAGTAGTAATTTCATATTTAGATCTATAGGATAATATTCATAATTATATTAAATTTGGTATTACTTATGTAAAAAAAAGAAAGATAATAATTAAAATTTATATAATCAAATATCTACATGAAGTATTAAAAGAAAAAAATAATATTTATCTCTTATATTAATATTTATTTATATATTTAGAATTATAATATAAACATACTTTTACTACTTATTATTATCATTATCTTGTAAAAGTTGGTCTTATATTAATAATAAGAACTAATATAAAATAATATATGGATAAATATTATTACTTGATATTCATTAAAGTAATACAAATTTTTACTGAGTTTTTCACAAGTGATTCTATTATTATCTTTCAAGATAACAAGATAAAAATTAGTTTAGATATTTCTATAATAGAACAAATATTTAAAATTATTTAAATAGTAAATAAATCTGTAACAATTAAAAATCATGATTTTTTTTAAAGAAAGCAAAATGAAATTTATATCTTTAGTATATCTCTTTATTAATTTTGCTAATTCAAATAGTACTCTTTAAATTAGTTAACTTGCTATTTTTATACAATTAAAATATTTTACTAGCATATTATCATTAACTCATATAACAGATTTACTAAGTCTTATTACTAATTCACAATTTACTTTTGTTATATTGAGAAAAAATAAAGTTAAACTCATATGAATTCTTTTTATTAATAATAGATCTGATAAAAATTCAAAATACTTAAAAAATATTATTAAGTACTGCAACTTATTTTGTTTTCTGGATCTTGACTATTTAATTATCTGAATATATACTTTAGGACAAAGTGCTTACAATCTTATAAAGTATAATATAACTTTTTTTTTAGTCAAGCTTATTAAAATTACTCTATCTTTAGATAAGTATAGAATATATCTAAATTCTCAAGGTAATATTATAAATAAAGAATTAGCATAATGTAACTTTGAATTTTCAGGAAAGAGATTATGTAAAATTTGAAGAAAAGATAAAATATATAACAAATTTATGATAATATAATATATTAGTAAGAACTCTAAGCTATTTATCATCTTAAGTAACTAATATAAAAATGAATTAAGGATTATGTTTAGTTATATTACTACTTAATAGATCTAAAAAAGTATAATAATTATCAATATTATCATAAATATTAAGCTTTTGATATTATTATTTTGTTAGAAGAGAATGATAGATTTCTCCCTCCTGTTATTAAAATCAAGAATAGATATTTTATCAATTCAATACATGCTTTTCAATACTTTGATAAACTAAAAATTTCTTTTCATAATTACTCATACCTATCTATTTCAAATGAAATATATTAGTATTTGTATTATAGTATATATAATAAATATTATCTTATATTGAAATTTATTACAAGTCATAAGTATTACAAGTATTAAATCAAGCATGATTAATCTTGAAAATAAAAATCTTTGTTAGAGATAGAAATTTCAGTGATTACTATAGTAATTAATATATTAAACTTGAGAGTTGTTGAGAATATAGAATATAATTATAATGATAAGTAACTAGAAAAAACAGATCTGAAATTATGTGAGATGCAGAATAATATTAAATAATAATTTGAATTAGAATGCTTGATGAAAAATACTTATAATAAATGATATCCTCCTAATTAAAAATTTTTATTCTTCTATTTATAATTATAATATAAACTAATTATAAACTTTTTTAATAATAAAATAATTTTTTTTAATATATTTTGAATTTTTTTTCAAAAAATTATTTTTTAATAAAAATTTATAATAATATAACTTTAAAATTATAAATTAATTATCTATTAAAAGAATTTCATATTATATATTATTAATTTTTTTAAGAATAATTAAGTTAAAAAGATTTTTATATTTATTTAAGATTTTTTATAATTATTATTTTTATAATTTATTTAAATTTATTTAATTAGATTATTCTAAATTTTTACTTATTTTATTATTAAATTATATATAATTAGATTTCTCTATAATTATTATATTTGAAAAAGCAAAATTAAATAACTAAAGAAAAATATAATTATAAAAAAATTTTTTTAATTATAATTTAATTAATAACTGAAAAGTTTAAAAAAGATAATTATAAAAAGATTTAATTATAAAAAGATTTAATTATATTATTATTTATATTATTATTATTATAATTTAAATTAATTTTATTAAAATTAATTTTATTTATAGATAATATCTTTAGTTTTTGAAATAATTATTTTTTTATTATATTTTTTGTATTAATTAAACTTATTTTCTTAATAATATTTAATATTTTAAATTTTTATAATTAAACTTATTTTAAATTTTTTAATAAATAATTTTATTATTTAATATTATTTAATTCTTATATAATAAAAATTCTAATTCTAATTTATTTTTTTTTTTTAGTTTATAATAATTACTTTTTTTTATTTGCTAAATTATTTTTTTTAAAGCTTGATAAGATTATCATATATAATAATAAAGATAATTTCAGTTTTTATTAATGAATTTCTTTGATATTCTAAATATTCTAATTTTATAATTATAGAATTGTATAATGATTAATTTTTTTTAAGAAAATATTATTTCTAATTAATATGAATTTAAATATTTTTTAAAAAAATTAAAATAATAAGAGAAAGAAATAAGAAAAAATCTTAATATTAATAATACAAAAAAAAAGAAAAATATAGTTACTTACCTAATAATTTTATATTATTTGAATTAGAATTAATTTAATTAAAATATATATATTTTTATTTTATAAAAAAAATTCTGATTTTTTTTGTTTTATACTATATATTAATTTTCAAAAAGTAGCTATATTTTTCTTGTTCTATTATAATTATATTAATATTATATTGAATCTTACTAAGTTATATTAAAGATTACAAACTTATAGTAAATACTCTTGCTTTTTACTTATGCTAATGATTCTAATTATCAATAATTTTATTTATTTTCTTTAAAAATTTTATTCTTTATAAAAGATTTTTACTAAAAGATTTTAATAATAAATTAAATTAAAATTTAATTAATATTATTTTTATTTTTTTTTATTAAAATAATGAATATTATGCCAAAAGAAAGATTATTAAAACAAACTTTTTGTTAACAAGTAGGCCAAGTTAAATTTTCATACTGATTGATTAATAAGTTTGTCATTATTTTTACTTCATTTTTAATAATAGTGATTTAATATATCTAATGTAAAATTTAATGAGAAATATTTTTTAATAGAGTACAAAAAGCAATAAAATTTTGAAATATAAGCTATTTTTTCGTTTTTTTTGTTTTGAATTATATCTCATATTTTGATCTTACAATTTGATTGGTTGATTTCTACAACTGATTGGTTTGTGTTACTTGCGCAAATAAGTAAATCCATCTCCTTTACACAAATCTTCCTTGTTTTTTTGAATTTTTTTCGTTACACAATGACCTTTGCGATTTGGTGCTGATTTGTGCAATGCATAATAAATAGACGCGAAATAGACGTCACAAATTTTTTTTATCCTGTTAGATTATTCTTATCAAGCGCTTTTCTAACCTATTTATCTAGTATTCTAGTATTCAAAAAGAATCATTGCCAACCTTCTGAAAATGAAGGTCTGCTGTACAATGGACGTGCAGTCCGCTTTAGTTTTTCTAAAGAGAATGCCCCTCGTTTGCATAACGTTTGCAACCGTCCTATACAATAGGCGTGCAATTAATTTTTCTAAGAGAATGCCCTGTGCAATTCCCAACACCACTCGTTTGCATAACGTTTCCGCCGTCATATATGGATGTGCAATTCCATAACGTTTCCGCCGCCGTCCTATACAATGGGCGTTCTTTAAGTTTGACATGGGCATTGGATCTATTAAAGTATTCTATCTTTGAGCATGCACATGCACATAATCAATATAACATTCATTACACGATTTGTCGAAAATAAAATTATCGTATTCTTTCGGAAATACACACCTCTTGAGAATAAGCACGACTTCCGAAAGAAGATTATGAATAAGCACCGCCTTAGATAAAAACGATAATTTTATTGAACCAGGGGGAGGTGATTTTTGGGGTGAGAAGCGAGTAAATCTTCCTTTATAATATTGCATTAATTTAGGAAGGTTGATTGTAGATATTCAAGAAACTATCTAGAAATAAGCATCACACCTATTTTTGGATATTAGATATTGCTTTAATTCATAAGTTTGGTGAGCAATTATTTCGCATTTTTACATGTATTCCAAATTTTCTTATTTCAGATGAATTAAGTAAATGAATGAACGGGATAATCCTGGTTTTCATCCAAATTTGACAAAAAAAAAATACGAAAAGAGAATTTTCAATTCTGTAACCTGTTTCCACTGTTTTAAATGAATAAACAAATAGCATCATCTACAACCGTGTAACCTTTTTCATAATACAATATTGAATATGTTTGGCTAGTTACAATGACGTTAATAAACTCCTTCCAACACAACCACCACAAAAGAAGTTTCGTTCCTTACAAATACCACAATGTCTTCGTCTTCGTCATATACACGACGGAAACCAGTTGACGAAAACTTCACACCACCCTCTCAGTATCCGCCTCCTAGACGAATAATCAATGATACTTCTTTTTTAAGAAACCAGTCGTCACAACAATCACAACCACCACTACTACCCTCCTCACAGTATGCATCACGTACGGTAAAGTCACCAATGAGAACTCCTTCGATAAATGAAGGGAGTGCCCAAAACACCGTCATTCAACCGGTTAAAAGCACCATTGCTATAGTACCGGCAAGAGATTCTGTTCCAGTAGCTCCTCCTGTAAGTGGCTCGAGTGCTCAAACTACCGTTGTTCAGCCGGTTATGAGTACAATGAAAATCGAATCCAGCTCTTCGAGCCCGGTGCAAACTCCACGTACGGAAAACTTCAACCCGGCTTTAAAAAGAACTTCAATAGATACCTCTAGTTCAACTTCTTCTCTCGACCAAGATATTGTATTGGCTGCAGAGAAAGAACTCTCTAAATTGACTTCGAAAAAGAATTCCATATCCACCTCACCTACCGTCGTTAGCACCTCTAACAATAATACTCTTCATGATAATTGTTCGCCACCTTTATCGCCGAGTTTCGATCGAGTAACATCAATAGGAACGTCTAGCAGCCTATTAGCTTCCTCGGCGGCAATACTTGCAAAAATAGAAACGAAAAATAATCACTATTCGTTGATAGATACTACTGATGATATGTTGGTACAATTGTTGATTTCTCAAGCGATTGTTGATTCAAAAGATTTTGCGATACTGAATTTAGAAGATGTAGAAGAATTAAAAAAAGTAGGTATATAAGCTGACAGTTTGGAATTATGTTGGGGATTATGAATTCTAAATTATACTTTTACACATATGAAGGAGCATTCGCTGTTAACCAACCGAATAAATGCGCTTACGAATAAATTATCTCTTGAATCAAAAATTCGGGAAGCTGCTAGTTCACTTTCTCGTCTTCATGCTTCTAACAAAAGACTTTCACGACAAGCAGGTGATCATCTCTCACAGGCAAATCGTAAAGTTGATCAAATAACGAATGAGTTATGGAAGCTTAGTCAGCGTGCCTTTAATCTAGAACGGAAGTTACTTCATCATATGTCTGGTGCGCTGAGTTTAGGAATAAGAAAACTCGAGGAGAAACAAATTCAAAATGCGCATTTACTACAACAACAACAGCAAATACTTTTGGATCCCGTTCAAAATGGGATTGAGAATCTGTATAATGAAATTATGGAAATGGACAATACGACTTCTGATAATGAATTGTCGAACAAAGTAACAAATTTGGAGTCTTCATTGCAGAGTGCTCATCAAACACTTGCCGAGGCACGAATGTCAATCAAAAGAAAAGATAGAGAAATCGAGGAACTGAAAGCAAAAGTAGATGATTCTGTTACTGAAACACGGGAAAGAACAATCGCGGAATTGCGTACAGAATTAGAAGAGGTGGGAAGTCGATTAGATATTGTTTTGAGAAAACATAAGGCTGCCAAAAAAGATTCATTCCCTGATGATAATGACGATGAGGCATCCGAAGAATCCGACGAAGGTTCCTCCAATCGACTTTCTACCATGACCACCGCCACACAGCATCTACAAAAAGAACAATATCGTAATATTTCTAAAAATTTGTCCAGTTTAGAGAAATCGCTGGAAGAGTATCAATTCCGTATTTACAAATTAGATCAAGATTTAACGGCTGCCAAGAACAAAGCTGAAGAGGAAATGGCTCGACTAAAAGAATCTCATCAAAAAGAAATGAAAGCAGCAGAGGAAAAACAAGAATCTTTAGAGGAACAAATCATCGAATTGAAACATAAAGCGAGAAATAGTGAGGATCTTGAAGAACGGATTAAACAATTACAGATACAACAAAACAACCGAAGTACCGATCTTCAAGAAAAATTGACAAAAATCACCCAAGAATATGAACAAATAATGGAAAAATTGAAGGAATTATTTAAAGATTTACCAAGAAAACTTTCTAATAAGACAGGAGCGACAGATTTTACTGTGGACAATTTCATATCATTTGTACGACAAATTGATGAAGAAAATGGACAGCTTCTGGATGAAATCACTCAATTACAAACCAAATGTGAAAATATGCAAGAAGTAGTCAGCGAAAAAATGAGATTGACGAAAATCTTACAATCTACGCAACTAGAACTTGAAGAAACCAAATTGAAATATGAAGATCTCGAATCAAAAACGGAAAGTGCAAAGAACAACTTTACCAAGATTTCCGAGAAAGAAATTGAGTTACGTAATGAAGTGACACAATTGCATACAGAAATCGATGCTCATAAAGAAAAAATTCGTAAATATGAGGCGACTCTTAAACGTCAGTCTATAATTGCATACGTGCAAGACGGGAAATCGATGAAAGAGGAATTTCAACAACAATTGGCCTCGCAAGAACAAGAATATGAGGCTCAAATCAAGGAGCGAGATGGAGTTATTGTAAAGCTTCGGTCCGACCACAACAATGCAATAACCGAGAAAAATAATGCAACTCAGACCATAAGAGAATTAGAAGAAATGTTGAGCTCAAAATCAAGAACATTGGATCAACGTGAAGTGACAATTAATCGGCTTGAATCTGATATTGTCGATTTAAAGATGGAACTTGCCGAGCTTAAGGCCGCCTCCGATGGCCTGAAAGGAAAGAAAACTGCTATCTACGGAAATGCTATTCTTAATAGTGGTAACGAAATAAATGCATTAAAATCTCAACTCGAAGAAGCACACACGGAAATAAATAATTTGAGATCGGCTAATCAAGCTCTGCAGTTAAAAGTGGAACATTACACCAAAAATTTGTCCATAACACACGCCCGATTCAGTGCACGTGAAGAGGCACTAGAAAATCGTGCGGATATGTTACAAAATGAATTGGATGGCATTTCGCGGGAATTTGACCGATTAACAAGAAATTTCTTGGATTTTGATACTGAAAGGCACAAACTACAAGCCACTATTGACCGACTTAATCGACAATGTGAGAAGTTGGAGAATGAATTAGCCGACGAGCGAATCAAAAATCTTGGTAACGATTCCAAAGATTCCGTAACTGCAACAAATTTACGTAAAGAATTTCGAGACATGATGTCAAGTGTGAGAGCCGAGCACGCAAAAGCTTTACAGAGAGAGTGTGATGAAAGGAAAAAATTGGATAATACAGTGAGATCACTTCGACGCGAAAAGGAGGCAGAGAAGTGGGAGAAGGTGAACAAAGGCACACAAACGCGATTGGTAGTGAGCGTGAGGAGCGGTTAAAACATTTCTGAAATTTGAATTAATTTGTACTTGTATACATGTTTTGTTGTTTTACCTTTAATAATGTTCATAAAATTAGTATTATACATTTCATTAGTTTTCATAGTATTTATATAATAATTCATAATGTCTTTGAGAAAATTCACTAGAGAATTTAAAATCAACCCCTATATATTGAGATAAATCTGATCACAGATATCGGAATATGTAATAAAAGTGTACAGTCAGAATTGATAATATCTGCGTGGCTGGTTAGTGGCTAATGATTGAACTTCATGATCTTTTTTGCAGCTTTTTTTGAATATTGCGAGAATAAATTTTTAAAAGTATCACCTAAATTTAAAAGTATTACCTAAATAACAGCGATGGGTAAATCTTTCATTCCTTTCCGTTATATAATTTTTATCCTTCAAATTTAATTTATCTTAATTCGCCTTTCTAGCCAAAAGCAAGAACCACACTAATCACAATCAAAGTATGTATTGGTTGTATTGGTTATATTGGGAAGAATTTACTTTTTAGAGCTAATAAAATGTATAATTTTTTGTTAATAGATCGCAAAGCTCACCGTAATGGTATTAAAAAGCCAAAGACTTATCGATACCCTTCACTTAAAGGGGTAAAGTACCATTTTAAATTTATTATATTTCTCTAAACGGTAAAAAATATTAAATCCATCTTTCTTCTCGTAAGGTTGATCCAAAATTCCTTCGTAACCAACGTTATGCCAAAAAGGTAAACAACATTAATCTTAATATGAATCAAAGCCAACGAAGCATGATTGCATTTTAAAATTTTTAACCGTTTGATATTATTTTAGGGTACAATCGAGGCTCTAAGAAAACAACGTGAAGAAGCAAAATAAACCGATAAACAAATTCAATCTATTTAATCAATCCATTTAATCTGCTTGCGAATGATTTATTATTAATAATGTCCGTGTTACTTTTTTACATAAAAATTACAAAAAATAAAAAAGTACAAAACTCTCCATTCCCAAGTAAAATAAAAAAAAAATATATGATTAAAGAAGATACAAGCCTCTAGCTGTTCCCCTTTCTAATATGTCACTCATCTCTTTCATGATTTTTGAGATGATTGAAACGTTTATACAAACTGGACAAATTCACATTACATATAGGTGCTAAGACGCTCAGCGATGGCACGTGCATCTAATTCCTCGTCGCATATAGTATGCACACGCATGTTACGCTTAGTAATAGCATTTATATCCGGTCGTAAATTTTCCCATTCTTTCAATTGTTGTTTCTCGAAAAGAATTTGCTTTTTGACATATTCCTTGAACGCACTCAAGAAATCTTGGGTGCGATTCTCTTCGTATGTCACCAGCTCATTATGAAGGTTTTTGGTAACATGATTGACACGTGCGCCAAGTGTTGCTTCATAATTCTGTGCCTGTTTAGCGATTAAAAAAAAATTAATAATGAAAAATTTTAGTTAAACAGTAATGATACTGTACTTCTTCCAAATCTGTTAATGCCTCGTCCACTCGGTCAGATTTTATTTGCGTGGAAGATTTTAGACGTTCTATGTATCGACGCTTGCTCTCCGTAGTTTTCACTGCTGATTCAAAATCAGCTATTATTCGAAGACGATTCGTCAGTGTTTCCTATTTTATTTTGTTTAATCTTTAATATAAAGTCAAAATCTACATGACGATTATTGAATAATAGCGTACATACCCTAACAATATGAGCATTCACCGCGTAATAATTAAAGAAATCACCAAGAGCTGCAGCTTCACTCATTGCTTGTAATTGTTGCAGCTCGCTGACTATTTGCAACGTCTTTCCGAGTTTTCGTAGACCACTGTTATTATAGAAAAGTCAAGGCGATGTTTGAATCGGCAAGAGATTACCTAAAACTCACAATTATACCTTGATAGAGGAGGATGCTTTTCAACTGTTCCCATACCAATAGCTTTAGCTCCAAGATCAGCCGTGCATATCGCTAGTCCTATGAATAAAGTAAATAAAGTGAAGATCGTCGTCAATTTCAATCATCAATGAAAGTTAATAACATAATATATACGCGCACTAACCTTTTCGAATTTTAGCTAATTTTTGTACGGCCCGCGCATTTTCGAGCAAGTGAGCTTCTAAAGTATTTGCAATCGCTCTCGCGCTAGCTAATTCTTCATCTTCGTCTCTTCCTGTACCGGAAAATTTCATTCTGAGACTGCTTGTTCTCTTGCGGGGCTTAGTGACGGGAATAAACTATTTATTGGTTATAGACTTATGAATTAACCATAAAAGTATATAGTATTGGCACGTGAACTCATTATATGCAATACTTGCGGCAAAGTCAGTCTCGATGAAAGATTTAAGGTCTTCGTCGTGTCTTAGATAAGGATTACTAGTAATACGATTTATCCATTGTTGCATAGCACTTTTGATTCGCCTTTCATCTTCTTCTGTTGCCTGAAAACTACTGGTAGCAAATGGTAACGCAGGTACAATGCATTCTGGATTTCCATAAGCTAACGAATTGTACAGTCGTTCAAATTCATTATAAGTACGCTCAACTAGGGGATATGTGCTCTTCTTATAATTTGCCACGTTTGTCTACGAGAAATGCATTTGCAGTAAGGTTAAATAGATTCTTTTAAGCTTTGACAAGGAAGAGACGACAAGCGAATTCGACCAAAAAAATCATAACATACTGTAATTCTTAGCTTAAAGACCGGGTCGCGTCTGTTCTTATCAAATGCAGTTAGGGTAACGCGTAAATACTCTTCTACCGGTATTGGTGAGCTGCAATTTTTCTGAGCTTTTGTTCTGACCACTTTTTGTGAAGAAACTTGGTGAGAGTTTTCTTCTGCATCACTATTTAATGGTTCTTGCGGTACTGCCATTAGCTTTAAAGAAGTTTGCTGTTAAAAGTTTCTCTGCCTTTTGAAGGTGGAAATTGAAAGTGAAAGAAAACGAATAGGTAGAATCTCGCAAGTAAATCGTTAAAGTCAAATTGTGTGAGAAGTATTTGATTTTTTTGTTGGCTAAACTTCCATAAAAAGTGCATGTAAAAAGGCGTAAATGAAAACTAAAAACTGATCAGATGATAATTTTTATTTTTATCTGCATGATGTAATGTGGCTTAACTTTTTTAAATCGATATGACAAAATTAAAATTTTTTAATGCTCGATTAATGCAAATTTTATTTATTTCTTTTCCGCTGCTCTTTTCTTTTTATATTCGGCTACTAATTCTTCTTGTATATTGGGAAAAACGGGTTCGTGCTTCTTATACTCCATGGAGAATTCTCCCTTTCCCTAAAATTGTTAAGTAGTTTAAATATTCTCATTCAAATATATATGTAATAAAATCTGTATCAACAGCTATTAACTACCTGTGTAGCGGCTCTCAGATCTGATGAATATCCAAACATATTATTAAGGGAAACTTCAGCTGTAGCAATGAAATGATCCTCTTGGACTTCGGTATCTAATATAGTTCCCTTGCGTTTATTAAGATTTCCGATCACCGTTCCTTGAAATTCGATTGGGGCTGTAACTTCTACATTCATAATTGGTTCCAAAATGACGGGTTTTGCTTTTTGAAAAGCTTCACGGAATGCATATTGGGCGGCAAGACGAAAAGCGAGTTCAGAAGAATCGACCGCATGAAATGCACCATCTTCAAGGACAAATCTTACTCCATTCACGGGATGACCTATTAGAGTTCCGGATTCTAAGGCATCGCGGAAACCTTTTTCGATGGCGGGAATAAATTGACTAGGAATATTCCCACCCGTAACTCGACTTTCAAAATCTGGAATGTCTTCCGCGTCTTCTCCTTCAGGCATTGGTTCAATAAAACCTATAACTTTACCGTATTGTCCAGCACCGCCTGTTTGTTTTTTGTGTGTGTAATCAAATTTACCGGGTGCTGTGATTGTTTCCCTGAATGCGACTTGAGGCTTGCCAGTGATGCAATCGATATTATATTCTCGCCGCATCCGTTCAACATAAATGTCCAAATGAAGCTCACCCATACCCGATATTATAGTTTCCTTACTTTCGGGATCAATCGAAACACGAAAAGTTGGATCTTCTCGTTGAAATCGATTAAGTGCTTTAGAGAAATTAACTGATTCCTTGACCTTTGGAGTTATAGCAAGTGAAATAACCGGATCAGGAACAAACATTGAAGTCTGAAAAAGATAGGTTCAGATTATTAACGTCACGTTTTCATCTATTTATGAGAATGTAAAGACTTGAAAACCTAACCATTGTATATTCTAAAGTACCATCAGTAAATGTGTCTCCCGAGGAGCAATCAATACCAAACATGGCACATATTTCACCCGCTCCAACTTCTTCGACATCCTGAATTGATTAACAAAAAATAAGAAGTTAATGCTTATAGAATTGCGTGATTCGGTTATTTATATTCGATTGATTACCTCCATTTCATTAGAATGCATTCGTACAAGCCTTGGTACTTTAACCTTCTTCGAAGTCTTTGTATTGACAACAAAAGAACCCTTTTTTAACGACCCTTGATATACCCTAAGATATGTCAATTGTCCATATTTTCCCTCCTCTAATTTAAATGCTAAACCGACGAAGGGATTCTTCGTGTAAGGTATAAGATCAACAGGCGCTTCTTTTTGTCGAATATCAAGCGCGGTATTATGCACTTCAGATGGATTGGGAAGGTATGCGCAGACGGCATCGAGGACATGCTGTACCCCGGTATTTTTGAAAGCAGATCCCATCAGAACAGGCGTGAATTTATTTGCGATTGTGGCGCGTCGAATAGCATCCTATTTCTCGATGGATTTAAAAAAAGAGGGACACGTTATTTTTATAGTATACGATTCATTTGATGAAAGACGCCAATTCATATAAAAATGAGCTTATTAGTGCATACAACTATTTGCGTCTGAGTGGGAGTTTCTTCCATCAAAAAGATGTCGGCAATTTGATCGTCAACATCCGCGAGATTTTCAATCAATTCTTGTTTCTTCTCTGTGGCGAACGGGATCAAGTTTTCTGGAATTTCTTTTTCGATAATTGTTTCACTATAAAAATAGTATCATTTAATTAAAATGCGTATTAATTCATTGAGATAAATAATAAGTAGTTAATGAATACCCTCGATTTCCTTCATTATATAATGCTTTCCAACGGATTAAGTCTACGACACCTTTAAATTCATCTTCGACGCCGATAGGAATCTGTAAAGCCGCAGCTGGAATTTTCAACTTTTGTCGTATCTGATCAATGATATTGAATGGATTCGCACCAATACTAATACATTTAAGAAATCATTTTTGCATAAGAAAATGGCCGTATACATGGATCAAAAAAACTAACATTACAGAATTCTTACCGATCCAATTTATTTATAAAGGAAAGTCGAGGGACATTATATCGACGCATTTGACGATCAACGGTAATCGTTTGGCTCTAATCAAGAAAAATATATTTAATAAGCTGTTAAGTATATTATTTCGACCAAGTATACGGTAAACCTCAATAAGTCGATCTATTAGAGAAACTCGAGGGTTTGATGAATGAATCAGTCTTATCGATAAAGATTTGAACATAACAAATTTGATCTAACTTCGATTCTAGGTGATGTATTCATCAAGGGCGGCTTTATCGAGGTTGACAGCACACGCGTACTCACCTGAACTCCCGAGACACCACACAACACTAAAATGGCACCATCAAGAACCCGAAGGGCACGTTCGACCTCAATAGTGAAATCAACGTGTCCTATATGGTGAATTATTTTCGATTCAGTAAAGAACCGTCACAGAATCTTAACATTTACTGTCATACCATTTGCTTATTATTAACTAATGAATTACAGCTCTAACCAGGTGTATCAATAATGTTGATATTATAATCGCCTTTATTTCCCCATTTCCAAGTGCAATAAGTCGCTGCAGATTGAATGGTAATTCCGCGTTCACGCTCTAACTCCATACTGTCCATTTTTGCACCTTCGCCATCTTTTCCGCGTACTTCATGAATAGATCTATTGGAAGGTGAATTCATCAAATTATAGGTTTTCTATTGCCTGATCTTTGAAGAGAAAATCATGTACAAGATAATTGACAAACAAATAATTACTTGATTCGCCCAGTATAATATAAAACTCTTTCTGTTAAAGTAGTTTTTCCAGAATCAATATGAGCACTAATGCCAATATTCCGAAGGCGTCCAAGTCTTTTCTATCATAAATACATAATGTAAATAAAAAAGGTATGTAGAACTTTTATTCTCAGAATAAAAAGAATGGAATACTAACTAAATCAGGATCAATTTGTTCTTTTAGAGAACTGTCGGTGGCTGTAGAGGCTTGTCTACACCCATGAATTTCTGTTCTTGGTTGTAAAGTTTTTATCCAAGGAGGAAAACATAATGTAGGACTTGTAAGTCGTGAATTCTTGAAACAAAATCGCGAACAAAACATATTTTTGGTTTATTACTTTAACTTCGATTTTTTTAAAAAAATTAGAAAAAAAAATTTTATGTGACAAATCGTTAGTCATCTATCAATATCGCAATATCGGGGACGTTATTATGACATATGACCAAAAATTCCGAATAAAAAATTAAATTTTCATAGTACACAAATAATGTCTCCGGAAGGGGATAGAATCGGAAAGGATATTTTCACTAATTACTATAAATAAATTGATATTACATAATATCTATGTCTTTTATAGACTATATGCACATCAAAAGCGATAAACGCTGCATGCATGAATCATTGGTTTTGTTTGGATGATAGTACAATTTCTCTCGTGGCCAATGATATAAAGCTAAAGGAGACAGGAGGTAAAGTGTTGAAGTTAATATTTCCCCCCTTTTTTGCTACCCACCGATATCACCGTTTTTTAACAAACGACACTCATAATGACAAACCACCTCATTCTTAAAGTATCCAATGTTTTCGTATACGTTTTAGTGTTATTTATAAACTACACTGGTATAGTTGATCCAGAGAACAATCGTAGTCATGAAGACGAGAGTAATGAAACTTTACTTACCCCGGCCGTTTGGACTTTTAAAATTTGGTTCCTTATTTATGGACTGTTGGGTGGCTTTGTTATTTATCAGTTCTTCCCACCTGCAAATAGTGCGACTGTTGAGGGTATTAAATGGTTTCACGTTATTGCCAGTATCCTGCATCTCAGTTTTATAGTTGTTTGGGTAAGCGAATTTGATTGATTGGAAAAAAAATCTATAATTTGAATATGTAACTAATATGTATTTTATATTAAAAAAAAAAAAAGCATCAAAAAGTTTTAGAGATCGTCGAAATAGTTCTTCTCCTGTTATTGTTGATTGTTCTCTCGAAAATCTATAGCAACCTTGGTTTATACCCGTCAGCAAACATTTTTGACAGATTATTTATTCATTACCCGTTTGCAATTTATACCGCATGGATTGGATTTGCAACCATTGTTAATTTCTGGTTATTAATTCCCGCGTTGAACCAAATCTTGCCATCTATACTCGCAATTGTTGCTATCGGTGCAATTGGTCTTCATTTCATTGATTATTATCATCGTAATGATTGGGTGTTCTCGGGTACCCTTGTTTGGGGACTTGCTGGAATCGCGTTGAATCATGAAGAGGTCGATGAGAAACCCGTTATGATTGCTGCTGCGGTTGCTGGTGGTGTTATTGTTGGTGGAATTTTGAGATTTTGGATTTATCAGGTGGTCGCATGGTGGCGATTAAGACACGGTAGTTTGGATGAGAGCTCTCCATTGTTAGGATAGAATCTTTTAAATTATTCATTTCCAAATGATCAAGCTTTATTTCAATTTTAATAATATATTTATTATTTTTGACCTTAGTCTTAAAAACGTTAAAAACGATAGTTATGGTCTTATCGTACTACTCAAAATTAATGTACACTTTTATATGACATCAGTCTTGACTTTATTTATACATTATATATATATATATATATATGTTAATAACTTCACAAGATTGCAAATCTTAAACTACCAACTAGTATAAATATTGAAAACTTCCCGGCATCTCCGTTCTCACACGTATATGCGAAAATGTTTTCCACAAAGATAGACAGGCATTTAATGCATAAAAGTGGCCCAGTCTTCGCATTTGGCGCAAATTTGCGAAAAATATAGCCCAATTCATGAAATTCTTTAAAAACTGAAAACTCTTCAAAACTCAGAAACTAGTTCGTCTCGCGAAAGGTTCTTTTTTACAGGACCTCGTGCATGTCCTCGTGAAAAACCACCTGTTCCCAAAGGCAACAACTATTGAATTATTATAAACATCCTTTTTATTTCCAATGATGTGTTGACATCTTTTGTTTTCCAATGTAATTGTCTCGTCGAAACCTTGTAGCACCACAATAAGTGTAAAGCAACACATCGTAAATGATCAAAATAATGAACTTTGAAGGACTGTTGTCATTTATATATTACACTTCATAACCATTTAAACTCGCACTGTGTGACTGCCTTCAGCAATATTTGGAATGATAAGCAGAAACGTTATGAACTCTGGTTGAAGTTTGGTTCAATAAAACAATAATTATTCTATAAAGTCGGGTTGAACTCTGGTTAAATCACGGTTGACTTTTTTGTATATTTTTTTTCGATACAATAAATATTTTTGACTATCTGTAAAAAAAGTTACATTATTTTCCGGATCAATAAATTGTCATAAAATAGAACCTCTTTGATTTAACCACAACATGAAATCCTCTTAACTGATAATTGACCAATCATTTTGAAACCCTCTCATTCATCCTATTGATTAAAACTTTGTTAGATAACTCATCTCTCAAAGCTTAATTTATCTGTTCAGTTCCAATTCTCGAACGGATACTGATTCATGAAATACTCGATTGGGATGTGGTCGACGAAATATCATGATTATTTTTTATGGTATAATATATCTGACTTATTTCTGACTTTACCAAAATGAGTAATCCTAGTATCATTATAGATTCTAATGAAGCTCAAAATATTAAAAGAAATATCACATTACGTAAAATCTATTATTAATCTAGTGGATCTTAAGAAAGAATATAAAAAAGTTTATGATTGATTACATAATCAAAGTAGTTGGCAAATATATGCATAATCTCCAAAAGATACTTTATAAGTTAGTTATAATAAAATTTCATATCCAAATTATGTATATCAATATGATCTCTTATATCTTATAAATGATACTATTAATAAAAAATCATATAAATAAATATTTATTATTATAAATATTATATCATATTTTAAATATATTATCTCTCTTATATTCAAGAATAATTTAAAAATTACCAAAGCTTTCAAAAAAATCTATAATAATTTATCAAATCTACTTATATAACCAATACTTTTATAATATAATCAAGAATGTAAATTTATGAATTAGATAAGTGAAATATTAGAAAAATATAATGTAATAATCTGATTAATTAATATATATAATCATTAAAAACTTGTAATTATAAATAAATTCTGTAAGATACTTGCAGAAATACTTTATAAAATTTAATATACTATGAAATTAACATCTAAAAATTCTAAATTAATAAGAGAATGAATTAAGTATTTGTCAAAAATTATTAATTATCTAAATAATTATCTAATATATCTTATTTAAGCTTTAAATTTAAAGAAATAAAAACTAATATCAAAAGATATCATCAAGTTAAAATAAATAGAATCTTGATTATTAACAAAATATAAGTATCTTATAAATAAAAATAAAATAAAATTAAAAAAAATAATTTACTATTTATTTACTAATATAGAATAAAAAGAAAGTATAAAAAATCAAAAATATATAATTAATATAATATTTTATTTTTTATTATATAAAATTTACAAAATTATAATAATAAAAAATAAATTAGTTTTATATTATCTTAAAAATAATAATAATAAATATATTTTAAAATATAATTTTATATATAAGTAATTCTTATATATAAATATTAATATACTTTAATTTTTATCTTAAAGTATATTATTAAAAAATTAATATATTAGATTAGTTTACTTTATTTATATTTTTAATAATAGATTAATATATCAAAAAATATAGTGAAATTTATATAATAAAATTTGTATAAATAAATAAATTTAATATATATTTCTAGTTTTATAAAAATAAAAAATATTAATTTAAGTACTATATCTATTAATAATTATAAAATTTAAATAATATTCTTTATATTATCATATTTTTAAGCATTAATATTAATATATTTTTGAGAATTTGCTAGATAATATAAATTATTATCTTTAAATAAAATATAAAATACATATTAGTTACATATTCAAATTATAGATTTTTTTTTCCAATCAATCAAATTCGCTTACCCAAACAACTATTTCTTGGATTTTGATACTGAAAGGCACAAACTACAAGCCACTATTGACCGACTTAATCGACAATGTGAGAAGTTG